AAAACCGGCAAGACTGACGATTTCTAAGCTGTTTTGTGTTTAAGCTATTGTTCCCCCACACCATATGCTGCTTTTGTTCCAGCATTTGTTTTCGCCCCCAACTACTTTTTTATACTTGAGGAAAACTACGATGACAAAACAAAATCATCAATAATGCATCAGGGAATGCACATCATTCAATTCTATTTTTAGTGCATTCTGCACACTTAAATGAAGGAAATGAAACATGAAGTATCTGGTAGTAAGTCAGTGAAGATGCAGCAGCCACTCGCTGGTACACGAGCACTTCACCAACGAGTACTTGTTGTCGACAACACCGGGAAGCCATAAAGCACACGCCCTAAATTCACACAAAAGGTCCTGGTAGTAATTGGGCGTCGAGCAAAGAAAACAGAAAAACAGCAACAACAACAACTACGGCAACTTATGAAATACAATACGAAGGAGCATATTTAACAGATACACAAAAGCAGACAATTGTGAACGTGTGTGGGCGAACACGGGCGGCAGGGATGTAGACGATGAGTCAAGAGAGACGATGAAGCAAAACACCGAAACACCGGTAAATACATATGCAGATACATACATACATACATACTTTTGTACATATCGCACACGATCTTCAAAAGTGACACAACTCAAAATTTGGCATTTTCGAAATTTGGCACTAAAAATGTACACAGAGCTTTTATTTACCTTTCAGCAAAAGCTGGAGTAAACTTTTGTTATAATTTGTTGAAAAAGCCTAAGGTAAAGTCTTTCTTGATCATATGATCAAGCATGTGCTAAGAAATAATTTTTTAAATTTTCTGACGAACGAGTAATTTTGAGTTTTGTCTATTTTGAATGCGGTTTGCGATATGTAAGTATGTATGTTTTTACATTCGCAAATACAGATGCAATAAAGTGGAGCAAAGAATAAACCCGAAGAGGAAAACTTGAAAAGAGGTAAATAGGAATAAAATCGGCTCATAAGTATGTACATACATACATACATAAAATATTAAAGAAAGGGCAAAAATGTAAATATTTTGTGTTTGATTACAAATACATATGTATGTATATGCATGTAATATGTATTGGGTGATAGGTGATACAATGGTGATGCAGATCTTTGGCAGCAGTTACACAGCTTTACCAAAAAAAAAAAAAAACAAGTTTATGCATATTAAACCAAACCGCCACGCTGAATGCGAATCCGCGGTCCGTTAGCCTCCAGCACGTCAGGTTCATGGGTAATTGAAGGTCAAGTAGGGAAAAATGCATTGAATAATTAAAATGCATAAAAGGACTTTTCTCCAGAAATTAAACGGATGTTGTGTCCTTAAGCAAAGACGTCTTCATATAACGTCCTCCTTAATAATTAGATTATTTTGTCCTCCCTTAGGCGCTTTAAAAGTTGGCAAGCCTACATACATACAACTATCCGATATAGAACCAGAACTATTGATATTGTTGCATCACTACATACCTATAACTGTCAAAATCAGTATATATAGTAATCGTTGCCTTTGTTTCGTGGAGTTGGGGCGAACGGGAAGGGGGTGTTAGTTAAAAGCAGTTAAAAGTTTTCTTCCATGTGTCAGTTTGGATACATACATATGTACTAGTATCGAGCAGTATCGATACCAAAAGTACTCAGAACTCGATTCCCAAAAGGATCGACAGCAGCCGATTTTTAAAAGTATCGATACCGATTACTCCAAAGTAATCAGAAAGTACTCAACACTCACAAAAGAGCTCGAAAATACTCAGAACTCGAAAGTACTCAAAAACACTCTGTTTCATCAATAATCAGTATTCAGTGCCAAATAGACCCTTAAAAGTACTGAGTTAAATTTACAATTACCGGTACTCAGAAATGACTGTACTCAATTTGAAGTTTCAATAGTTTTCAAGTGTAATACTTGTACCCAGAAAAGTTAGCCATTCATATAACGTAATTTGGGATTAATATATTATTTTGAATAAAGCCAAGCATTGACATGTTACCAACATGTGTAAATTTAAAAAGTACTCAGTACTCTCAAAATTACCCGAACCTTAAAAGTATGGATACTAAGGAACTCGATCCTCCAGTTTTTTTATAAATTAATGCAATCTTGCCATTGGAAATTACAATTTGTTTAAAGAGCATTATTTTTTGAAATAACTGCATATAGTATATATCCTATGTACGTTTGTACATACACAGGTATGTACATAAATACGTATCTGCACACAACGCTGTAGAGAATTGCAATTGACACTGCAATTCTCATTACCACAGCAATTGGAGCGTCTACAAAAACAATTGTGCAAGACTAATTAAAAGAAAATCGACGCACGCAGAAAGACAGTATAGGTATGGAAAAGCATACATACCTAATGGAAAATAAGAAACCAGTGCAAATGCAATGTAAAGACAAGCAAGTGCAACACACAAACGCCACAGTAAATTCATACATAGTAAAGCAAGAAAGCGCAAACTGTAAAAATTTAATACAAACTATTTAAAAAAAAAAAAAACAGCACTGCAGGTAAACAGAATGTAGTTGGACAACTAATTGTGACATTTCAATGTATCACACGCTTAGACCAGCGGCAGATCAAGTTGTCACATCTGCTCGGTTAGAAATGCATGTACATACATATGTACAATCGCACACAGGCTTCAGGAATGTATTAATTTAAAAAAAAAAAAACTTTTATTTTAAATGCATGTAATTCAATAAAAGCGTTCTTCTTTCATTAGAAGCCAAAGCAATATTTTGTGGCAATAAAAAAAAAAACGCAATACGATTAACTTGAACTCATAAATAGTTTTTTGTATTTGCTAGCAAACGAGAAATTTTGAGTTGATATACTTTTAAAGGACGTGTGCTATGCGTACATACATACAGTACATGAGCGATATGCTCATTTACTAAAAGAGTTATATAACTCAAAACATGAAATGTTTGAGCAAAAGATGCAGAATAACACGTTATATCATGTTTCATATCATTGTCTACAAATTTCGTGCTAAAATCTTTTGTAGTTGCCGGGTAAGAAGACAATGGCACGTTTGAATAAAAACTAACTTTGCTTAAATTTCAGACATTTTACTCGATTTAGTCAAATATATTATATACATATTTCTACATTTTTCAAGCAAATTTACTACTTTAAACTCGTCTCATAAAAATCTCGTTCTTCTTTCAGTCTTTTAGTAAATGAAATGTTTTATATCGATCGAAATATTTTTTTTTGTCTCTGCGCTGACAAACGATTGCAAATTAAACAGCTTTTAATTAAAAAGATTTTTCGTTGCTTTTTAATTGTTTAGCTATGTAGGTATGTATCATGTACATTAGACCTACATATTCCACTTTGCAAGCAAACAAAAAAAAGTTCACTGTACATCCCTGAGTCTAAAGTATTTTTGTAAGGCAATTTGGAAACCTAGTGGTGGTAATTTTACATTTTTCGGTGACGCCTACATTCTTTGGTTTTTTTTTAATATGTAGTTTTAAATGCTGGAATAAACAAAATACTTCCTTAGCAAAAGTTTAGTGATTTTTGGAGAGCTTTACTTTACTGACATTAGGGTTGTATGTTAGGATGATAAGAACTGATAGCTGGTGAGTACTAGCTTCGACTGTAAATGTCGAAGATACATTGAAAAATATAAGCAAGCAACCCCTGCATTCGGCAAAAAACAAAAAAAAAAACGAAATTACCTTCGAATAGAAATATATTTCTTTTGCAAAAAAGTTTCATAATTTTTTGCGAGCTTTAATTTACTGGCATTAGGGTGATACGTTAGGGAGATAAAAACTTAGATCTGGGGGGTACTAAAACGGGGTATTGAGGTCAATGAACTTTAGAAGATAGACAAGAACATCGATATAAAATATGTACTTTAAAATTCGACCGTAAATGCCGAAGTCACAACAAAAATTGCTTTCGAATCAACATACTTCCCTAGCAAAAGTTTCACAATTTTTTGCGAGCTTTAATTTACCGACATTAGGATGATACGATAGAGTGGAAGAAACTGAGATCTGGTGGGTAAGTAGTAGAAGCGGGTGCTCGAAGTCAATGAGCTTTGACACAAAGCCCCCGAGACAAGAACATTATACTTTAAGATCCGAATGTAACAATTTTTTTGTCATTAAATACCTTGCAAAAGTACTTAGACCCAGGGTTGTACGGCGAACTTTCTTCCAGGTACGGTCTAATGTACATATATACTTCATTGTGTTTTTTACAAAGTGTTGAAGTCTTTTGTATGAATCATATAGTAAATTGAAATGATATCGGAATGAAACCTTCTTAGTTAAATATATGTATAAACCTTCATGTACATACATACATACATACATAAATAAATACAAAGTACCAGACAATTTAGATGGCAACGCCAACAAGCAACTGGCCAAACAGGCAGCCGCAAGTTGGAATAACTAACTAATCCACCACCAATGCCAAGGTGAAGAAGCCGGTTCAAAAATTGCAAACATACATATGTATGTATGTATGTATGTACATATGTATGGATATAGACAAATATACAAACATTTTTTGTGGAGCTCTTGGTAAAATTGAGGCAAAAACAAAAACTATCGCACAAAATCAACAAGCCGACAACGGAATGAAAGAAAAGCAGAAGAGGATAATGCAAGTTATGTACATACATCTGTAGGTACATGAGTATGTATGTATGTACATATATAATTGCATACATGTATGAATACAAATGCAGGTACATATTTAAGGTGGTTACGAAGGGTTGCGGGGCCGGCCGTTCACAACAAAAATATATACATCAATATTTGCCTTGAAAATCTTTTAGTGGGGGGCGGGGTATCGAAATTGGACCACAGCCACAGACGTTTGAACTTAAACCCCCCAAGCTTTGAAATGTCTGGATTGGCTAGATAGTATTGCAAATTGTTCGCAAAATTTTTTAAAGCCCTACTTTAAAATAAATTTTTTTTTTTTTGATTTATTTTATGATATCCATTTAAAAAACTTACAATTTTCAACCGAAACTGTTTGTGATGGATGTACTTCGTTGGTTTTGTTGCTGCAGAGGCTTTTTGGAACACTTTTTTAGTTCGATGTTTCAATCTTTTTTGTTTTGTATGTAATATGTACGTCTGTATATATGTAGTATGTATATTGCACACTCACAAGTTTTGGATCTTTTTATATTTTAAGTTATAGCTTTTACCGCACTTTTTTCGATAGCAATCGTTTTTTTTTTTACGCTTATGCTTCAAAAACTAATGTACACTGGGTGAAATAACTCAAACCATGAAAAATTTAAATTATTCCTTTCTTCTGTTCCACCGTTTTCACGCGTTTTGCTCTCTTCCCTAGTTGGTTTGAACGCAGTTGCGCAGAAATGTACTACGCTGTGCTAAAGAATTTCAGGACAAAAGCGTTAAAAATTTGTTGCCTTTTTTTACACCACGCACCGAATAATATGAAAAATTAATGTTAAAATGAGCCAAATCCCGTAATCAATACAATTTTTATGTTTTGAAGTTCAAAAAAAAAAAAAAATTTATATGTAGTTAATTTTTTGCTTTTCAAAATGACAAATCAAGTTCCTGCAAGGTATCCTTCAAGTAAAAAACAACTATTACTGAGCGCTATAGAAGTAAAAAAAGGGCGGTTTCGTTATTCCTGGCAGCGGCGAATATTACAGCATCAGCGCATTCATCTGTGCGTAGACAAAAAAAAAAAGAAGAGTTTTACCCCCACACTCCCTACTTAACGCACTTTCTTATTTACAAGCCACACAAAGGATACACGGAGCACACTTGACAATTTCCTGTGGTTTTAAATACACCAACAATTATTTGAAATAAAACGATAACTCCTCATACCTATGAGTTGATTATTTGCTAATTTTTATTATATTGAAAACTGAATTTGGCTCAATTTATTTACAAGCAAAAAACTAGGTAAAATTAAGTTAATATTACATTGATTTATTTCTTTAACTCAGGTTTGCTGGCAGCCGCCTTATTTATAAAACCGCACAAGTACTCTCAACACAACCGCTCACAACGCGTTGCTAGCTCGAATAAATTGTTCGTTCGTCGCCGGCTCAAAGGAAAGCCATTGGAGTGCAACAGTGCTGCCATGCACGAAACTTTCTAGTGTTTGTCTACACTGGTCAACAACATGTATGATGTTCGCTGCAGGCAAAGGCTTCCAATCAGCGTTGCCGTTTTGATCCAAGTGGAACAAAAGTGATACGTTTTTCGATGAATTTTTATAGGGACACTTCTTTTTAAATTTTGATACTTTTCCAATCGTGTAAAAAAATCTCACAGAACTCGAAAACCTTGCCAGAGATGTATACAAGTTCTTCGCTCATAGGGCTTGTCGAGTTTCAAAACTACGTTGGTGTTAAAAATCATAAAGAGTGTCAAACGTTCGCTGGTTATCGTTGAAGCGATTGCCTATGTAAGACATACATATAACCATGATAAAAACATTACAAGGTAAATTCATTCTCCCAATTCGGCGGCCATGATTTTTTTTCTGACGTTTGCCAACATTTTAAAATCCCTGCAAACCAAAGTTCCCGAAATCTTAAGGAAATCGTTAGGAGTATCTCATTTCTGTAACGATTTTTTTCCGAATTTTCAAAGAAAATTATATGAAGTGATTGACACGAACTCGTAAAGAAATTTCTATACGAAAAATAAAGAAAATTCTAGAAAAATTTTGAAAGATATTCTTCACATAGCAGCATTATTTTCGTTGCCTCACAGATTTTCTTCCGAAATTTCGTAAAAGAATGGAAAGTGTGCGTAATTTATTTCATTTTAGAAAATTCGGCAAAAAATCGAACTAAATCTTAACGAATTCTTTAAAATTTCTTTACAATGCAGAATACTCTGAAAAAATGGTTTGCAGGGATCATATAAAATTGAAAATGAAAAAATTAAATTGTTCACAATTGTTGTTGTTTGAGATTGAAAATGAGAATGTGTGTGTAAGTTTGAGTTTTGAATTTTAAATATATATTGTTGGCAAACAATATAACAACGGCGACGACTGCCTCTCAATGGTTTTACCTTTTTATGTTGCTTTCGAGGCTGCCTGACTATCGGAGTAGATCACACTTTCTCATTAATGAACAAAAGTAAAAATTTGCTTATGTGTGTGTAACTTAGTAGAGTTTAAGCAGTCGTCTTTTTCGAGATATTTTCGACCACATGTCGACATACATACAGTATCGGTCATATCTATAGCACGCCATTTCGAAGTGATATTGTGTGCCCATTATGTTTATTTATTTATTTTTAAGAATTTTCAATTAAAATTTAGTTCATTCTCANAAAAAAGTGTAACAAATTTTCACCTAAATTTGAAACTTTTTTCCCGGAAGTGTTAGAATTTTTTTGAGTACACAGTTTTTTAGCCACTGCAATTTGAGTCTGATAATGTCCAAATTTCAAGTGGCTACGAATTACCGTTAATTTTTTAGAATTTTTTTTTCGCATTTGCTTCCATATAATGAATAAACTCAATTTATTTGTATATGGGCATTCCCA